CAAACTAGCTTCACAGTAACATGTACAAGTCTTGCATGTCATTGCATCAGTAATATTAGCACACTAATTGTATTACGGCCAAATGTAAATGATTTAAAGGCATCGTAACAATAACTTTGCGGGAGGTAGATGTATTGAAAGACTGCTTGCAGACACTATGCATGACGACATCTAGTAGAATGTCTACGGAGACTGACAACCTGCAATGAGGAAGACAAAAATGAAACAATTAGGAGACACATAACGCACAAGACAAGTATTTTTGATATAAGCATAAAACTTGGGCACTGTGGTAGAGTATAACTCCATTATGGATACGATTTTATTTTGGTAAATCACATAGTGTTGGAGAGCAATATTACTTGGTGGCGTTTTGAGCACAAACTATTGCTCATCATCATATCAAGTCAGTCACACAACTTTTTGCCTCATTCATATACATGAGTATTTTACTTAAGCGTACTACAGGGATAAAAGGTCACTCGTCTCATTCACTTCTATTCACACCATTTCTTACGTCCGTGTTACTGACTTTTGGTTTATGTTTTCCTCTTCGGTGCACTTTATCTGGACAGTTTAAGGAATCGGGAAATGCATAGAGTACTTAGGAAACGGCATGAATAATTGTTTAAGCTAATTAACACTAGGTAGTTGTGACACTACGCATTTGTAGTGACAAAGCTGACTGACTGAGTTTTAACATGGAACTCAGCACAGAAGTGTAGCAGTTCGATTTGTGACGTTCCACACTTGAAAAATATTATATTTGGTTGGTAATAAGCATAACATATTTCATCAGATGTGTTTCAACTTCGCAGTTGGGCTACGTGATAAAATTAACTAACTAATAAGATATAACGAGACAGAGTGTGAGAGTTATCTCGGGTAAGAGGAGAAATTATTGTAAGATCACTTTTTCAGTTAGACAAGAACTAAATGAAAAATACGATTACCATTTGTTGACATTTTGCCTATTTTTATCCCCGTTTTAACATTTCACTATACCTGGACTATAGATCATTCTGATAGACTGATTTTCAACATAGAAGTGTGCACACAAGTGCACCCGCTTAAGTTACCACGTTCCATGTAGCACACAAAGGTAGAGGAAAAAATAAATTAAATGGAACTCTAATGTGCATAAATGTGATGAAAAACGAACAGTTATATGGTAAAAATATAAGGGTTGCTCAGATATGTGAAATCACACAGAGTGAATGCATCTGTGTCATTAACAACGTTTGAAATCACATTTCTACTTAACACTAAGCTTAACCCCAATATTACTCACCATATTAGACTACTTAACACAGAAGAAAGGGTACAGACACTACGATCAAAAACCAGTAGTCTTTTCATATCTTCCAGTTTAAATGGTCACTTCTCGCAGCCTAAGTGGACAATACCATCAGCATACAAAAAGTTGACAAGACTGTTCCCTGGTAAGGGCCTAAAGTGAGTAACAGACAATTCGGTTAATACATTTATGATGAAAGTGAACTAAAATAAGGACGACAGTTGTAGAAATGAGCCTTGTACTACATCCTTCTTTGAAATATCAGTTCCTTCATAGTTTAGTTTCAGTAATAAGTGAATGGAATGTAGTCTACAAATTCATGAAATTCGCATACTGACGTACTACTTTCCTAGAATCCTAGTTGATGTCTCCTCAGGAAAGTGGGAAATGAGCATTGCACTTGCATAAACTCAATAGTCTGTGAACTGCTGGCAATGAAAACGACAACAATTTTTGGTATTACTTAATTCCAAAAACGATCACATAATCTTTTATTCCGACTTCTGGTTCCATCAGATGAAATTAAAGGGAAGAGCTGAGAATAGAAGGGGTGTTGAGGGTTAGACAGTATAGATTTAGACCATTTCTCGCATGAGTTTAGATGTCTTTTAACTAATGCATTAACGAGTTGACGAAATGGTACACCACTTGCCCTAATGACAACCTTAATACCCTACACAATACGACATAGTCGTTTTTGAGTAATTCAGGAAAGAATAAGGGGGAGCAGTAAAGACCAATGCAAGAGTTAACAAGTTGTAAAAAGAGAGGTTGAATGATTCTTGACTGTCTTGACTACATAACATGGTAACCTAGACTGAAGGTTTTCTTAGAAATCGACAAGATATAGAATGACCAAGAAAGACCAGAGGATAGATTTACTCCAAGGTATTTTATGTTAGACTTAGTTTCTGTTTCAGTGTCCTCTTTGATACAAGCATCTTGTGAACGACACAGTTTTCGCAGTTCACGCTTATGAGTGAGGGGAAAGTTAGCTGCCTGACATTTAGAGGGATTTAACGTAAGACCACGTACCTTAGACTACAGACAGGAAGCAGTTAAGTTTGCTGCAGTCACATTGTAACATGACAGGAAGTGAGACGGTCAGATCACCAGCATATTTGACGAAGTTGCTCTCATTAGAAAGAGAAAGGTCATGTCAGACGAGAGAGAAAAAAGAAAAAGAGAGATAACAATACCCTGAGGAACACCAGCTCCAGCAGGCGAGGTAGAAGATTTACCCTAATATACAGTATGCTGCATTCCATTTGAGAAATGATAATGCAACCAATCAACTGCCCAGGACCCGTGTTTGCACGATCGAAACCTTATTCAACTAAAGTCATCTAGGCGCTGAGTCAACAGCAACGGCGAATGCTGAATGACCGAAAACTAAGTACAAATGTGACAAAGCACAAATCCAGTTGCAAAGTAGGAGACGAGTCCCGGGTGGAAGAAGAGATTACCGAAAGGTATCAATTTTTCATTTGACAAAGAGCAAGATTATGAACTACACTTATCATTTGTTGAAATTTTGGAGATCATTTATCAATGTTTCGCATTTAGTTACGCACAGACTGTCATTCTGAGTAGCTTCCAGTATGAGTTTGCAGAGAAGTCCACCTGTTTAATTTACCACATTCCATGTAGCACACGAAGGTAGAGACATAAAACTAAATGGAAGTTTAACGAGAGAAAATGTGAGGGAAAATAAATAATGACAAGGAAAAACATGAGTTGAATAGATATGTGAGATTACACAGAGTGAATGCACCAGTACCAGTACCAAAGATTTGCAGTCACATCTTCGGTATTTCTTCCAGCCGACTGTCAACAATTTTATGAACCGATATCACTTTTTCACTTGACCGACCCAAACGCATTTTAAACCTTAACATGTGCTGGTCAGCATTGTCCCTGGAGGAAGGCGATGGCTTAGTATGCCAGCACGTGTTCTAGCCATCTCAACCTATTCAGCTTCCCTACCTTGAAGGCCAACTAACCCTCCCCACCTAAACATTTATGCGTAACCTCAACAGCACTCGCCATATTATACTGCTTTGCTGATGAGATAGAACGCGGACACCTATAGTCAAACACCGGTATTATTTTCATATTTTACAGCATCAGGGGTTACTTCTCATAGTCTAGGTGGACAATATCATCAGCAAACCGTAAGGTGATAAGAATATTCCCTGATAAGTCTTTGAAGTCAATTACAGACTATCATATTATTATATGTGTGATTGAATTGAACTGTTATAAGGATGACAGTTTAAGAATTCAGCTTTGTATTACATCCCGCTCGGAAATGTGTTTTCTCGGATAATTCGCAAACAGTATTCAGTGAACAGAAAACATTCTGTAGGCTTGATGAAACTCGTAAACTGACGCACTACTTTTGCAGGCAATATACTATTTCCTCAATAAAATGAGAATTGAATACTTCGGCTGCATAAAACGAGTAAGTAGTATTCTGGCAATACCAATGACTACAACAAGTCTAGGAGTTAAGCACTACAACTTTTACTTTACTGAATACACCAGCAGACTTTACATAAACACTTGACAGATCAAATTTATACAGGGAGTCAGTAAGATTTAGTAAACTAAAAGTGCTTTCGGTTTCCACAGGAGTTCTCCGTACCGAATTTATTCCTTCAAGGGCCTACTAAGGGGTGAGGATATAGGTTGTCTCGTGTTATATTTTCCGCGACTAATTTTTTTTCGTCTTTCATTGGCTAGAATGGTGGCGGTCAATTGGAGTTTGAATTGTCCTTGGGTGCGTGCTGTCGGGTGCTGTATTTGCGTGGTTGTGTTTGCGTCGTTTGCCAGCATATGTGATTACTGTAAACGTGTATGAAACTATTGTAACGCTTTGTTTTTCTTTGTTTGTGCATGTACTAGGCATTATTTGTCGTACAATTCGTTGTTTGGTCTATTGGTTGCTTGCGATGTCAACGAACCGGTGGGTTCTTGTGTTTTTCTGTAATTTAGGTTATACGTGCGGCATTTTCTTGATGGTTATCGATCATCCCTGTATTTCAATGTTGTTTTTTTACGATTTATGTTGGAATAGTTGTGACATAGATGGATCCTAATTGATAACTTTATTTTAGTCCGTTGCAGGTAGTCAATTCGAGTGACAGGAGCACAGATTTAAGTGGAATTTTTGCTGAATACATACTTGGAAAGCGTTTCTTCAGCTGGGATGAATTTGAGAAGTCAATAGCAGAATTTCAAAAAGTGAGGAAGTCATATAATGCTAACAGTGTAGTTATCCTACACTCACTAAAAAAAAAAAAAAAAAAAAAAAAAAAAAAAAAAAAAAAAAAAAAAAAAAAAAAAAAAAAAAAAAAAAAAAAAAAAAAAAAAAAAAAAAAAAAAAAAAAAAAAAAAAAAAAAAAAAAAAAAAAAAAAAAAAAAAAAAAAAAAAAAAAAAAAAAAAAAAAAAAAAAAAAAAAAAAAAAAAAAAAAAAAAAAAAAAAAAAAAAAAAAAAAAAAAAAAAAAAAAAAAAAAAAAAAAAAAAAAAAAAAAAAAAAAAAAAAAAAAAAAAAAAAAAAAAAAAAAAAAAAAAAAAAAAAAAAAAAAAAAAAAAAAAAAAAAAAAAAAAAAAAAAAAAAAAAAAAAAAAAAAAAAAAAAAAAAAAAAAAAAAAAAAAAAAAGTACCAGAAGGATATAACTCGCATTGACGTTAAAAATATGAAAGCCGCAGTGAATAAAGGTAACGTTGACGTACTTGTTACATACTTAAGGTATTTCGAGTCGTCGTGACATTTTTGAATTCCTAAAATCCCGTGGGAAGTTAATGGAGTATTATTCCGATGAACCGATCAGGAATTCACTAACAAGAATTTGTTTTGCAACTTATGAGCAAATGGAATTGTATAAACAGTTCCCTGAAGTTGTTGGTATTGATTCGACGTATAATACAAATAAAGGGAAGTAAGTTTACCAATTCATTAATCAACGTGCAGGTATTCTTTGTTCCAGCTACTTGTGACGGATAATTTTGGTCGTGGACGACCAGTTTTATTTGCGTGGACTAGAAAAGAATTCAAACGAGATGTAGTTTGGATATTAGACTGTTTCCGGCAAATAATGGAAGACACCTCGAAAACAGAATCCTTCATTATGGATTGTGCGCAAGCTGAAATAGCAGCCGTCAAGTTAACGCACAGACAAGCGCACATTGTTTTGTGTTCTTTTCATGTTTGCCGAGCTTTCTGTCGGAAAGTAAGTTTTTCAAAGCATACTTTACATTTTATTCGTAGACAAGAAATCCCATTGTGAAGAACTACTTATGCCGTCTAGTGCAGTGTAAAAGGAGATCAGAGTAATGCCTCTATTGTTCTCATTTTGCAGATTTAATTTCTACTTCAGAGTTATTAGCAGATTGGATGCTAATGTCAGTCAATACCTACAACGTCGTTGGATGCATCGACGAGAATTGTGGGCGGCCTGTTTCAGAGATAACGTGCTGACTTTTGGGAACGATACAAATAATCGTGTCGAGAGTTCCCACAAGCAGATGAAACGGTTTTTGCAAAGATCTGATAGTCTGCATAAAAGTATGCTAAAGGTGTATAAATGGCATAAACGAAGTTTTTCAATAATACAGCAGGAGGCGAATATTGCTCAATCACGATGCTTCACGTATCCCTGTTCACAAAGTTTAATCCCAATTATACGGTTGCTTACACCATACGCCGCGAGGAAGGTAATACGTGAATACCAATTGCGACGATGGGCTACTGTTGAGTTCGAATCCGTTGATTATGTATTTTTCAAAGAAAATGGGAAAACAGTGCAGGTTGATCTGAGTGCTTGCACCTGCACGTGCTTTACATTTCAGACCTGTCGGTACCCCTGCCGACACTTGCTTTTGGTCCACTTAAGAAAGCCGTATTTCACAGGTATATTTGCGTTTTTATGACTACGTTTTTAATGTATAATGTAATGTAATAATCAGTTCATAGTTATCTTAACTTTTTTTGTTCCACCTTTTGTAGTTAACCATGTGATGCATAATTGTAAACAATGGACGTGGTCACGCAACTTGTTCGCATCTCAAAGTACGTCAGCAGTTATCCCTCGAAATCGAAGTAACATATACGATACCAAAAAGAAGATTATCAATGCGGGTATGGACAGAATTAATGACAAATTTGGAGAAGTGTTTGCCAATGCTTATGCAGACGGAGTAATCGCAGGAATCAATCGTGTTCTTAATATGTAAATAAACTAAATTTTTGTCATAATGAAAATAAAATTTTCATGTAAATTTTGTTGTCTTTCAATTCATGTGTTCACTTTGTGAGCACGGCATGCTAGACCGGTGCTCTCTAGGACTTTCACTACTAACAATACGTAAGTGTAATTGTGTAGGAACGATGTCGGTCAGCATACGTGTTAAATTATAAGTATTTCAGTTAGCTAACGTGCATAAGTATCATAGTCATATACAAGTCTTTAGGGACAATAGTAGGCATACCTTAGGCACTGCATTCGAGTCCCAGTTCTTATACGGTTACGTGTATTCGAAAGTATTGCATTACTAATGTTTCACTTAAAGCGTGATGTCAATCCATATGACTAAGGCTGTTGACATGTAGCGTAAATTCAACTCTACACCAGACGAATTATTGAATTCGTTGAGCTTTAACAATCGTATTTAGATTTAGCTTACACTAAAATATGCCACCAATTACTTCGTCAGTTCTTATTAATAAGTCATGTCTGCACCTAGTCATCATGACAAATACATCTAAACTCAGATATAATAAGAAAGGTCTGGTAAGCAGGATATTAAATGTATTTAATGAAAAAATAATAACAAGCAAATGTGTTTACGCAGTCGATTGTCGGAATAATTTGTGCAATGTCGAATCTCTGTGACTGGGGTGATTGACGTTACCAGATATCTACAAATAAGTAAACAAAGTGTTTTTTAAATAGCTGAAGTAAGGAAGAAGTAATATTAAAGGTAAACGATTTATATCTGCCTACCTTTGCTGAAAATGGTTTATTCTCCTTTCTCATTCTTTGGTAATGACATCATTATTCTGGGGTTTTCACTGCAACACACATTATTCCTCTTCTAAAGGATAGCAGCAAGCATATAGTAATAATTTCAAATTTCGTTTAAACCAATGTTTACAATGAATGCATGTCATTTCTACAGGCGCAATAAGTTATGTTATAAACTGCAATCGTGAAGTATCATGAATTATAAGAGTTAAATTGTAAACCCTTAATAATGAACACCGTACATTTGGCTAAGTGCTATGTCGTTGGAATGTGAGTATACATCTGCAATGTTTAATGCCAACCATATTGGTGTAAGGATAGAAAATATGATGTTTTCTATGAAAATACAGCTTTGTTCCAACACTGCTGTTGTTGTGTTTCTAATAAAAGCAAATAGACTGTAAGCATAAAGGCATATCCAGTTAACATAAAATGCAGTGTAATAGTGCACAAATGAAAAGACCATAGTGAAGTAGATAAGTGATACTTCAGTGAGAGGTAAATTGAAAGATCTGCAACCTTATAATATGGAAGACAACCTGACATGTAAGATGTCTCACAAATTTCAATAGGGCCTGTGGGGTACCATGGATGGTTTGGCGTCAATCGCAGCTTTGGAATAATGAGTTACAAATGCTAAAGGTAACAACCAACGAAACTGCAGTAGTATTTTCTAGCTGTTCAGCATTTTTTCCTTTAATGCAGTTTCTTATCAACAGTTTGCAGTATTCAGAACATCACAAGTTGCTTACAGATAACTTGTTAATAATAACTGCTTTAAATATATGAGCCATAAGTGCATCTTCTACATCTTTCATAGCCACAATTAAGTCATTAAGGATCTCACAATATCTTAGTGATGTGAAGCAAAATAATTTTTAAGATTGATATAACCTATGTAACAGGTGTAGTAGTTGTACGACACAGCCGCCAGCTACTAATCGACATAAATCTGGTACTAATTTTAAGTACTCTGACATTTGAGAAGGACTATTTATACTATTCTTCCAGACACAATGAACACTGATGTCAATATACTCTGATGCCATTTCATGCACTGAGCAATTAAGGCCTTGTGAAATTCCATGTGCAAATGTCAATTAAACTATTTTCACATCTTCGCCCAAGCACTTTTAACTAGGAACTTCATCTAAATAGATATAATAACCAGGAAATTCAGCAGCCTGTCTCATTCATCGCATAATGTCGTCAATGTGTTATGGAATATTTCAGTCATCCCGGATGATAACAGAAAAGTTTAACATGCAAAAAAAAAAAAAAAAAAAAAAAACTGCATGCTATTTATCTTTCATAGGCCAGATTCTCATAGATTCACTGGAATGACAACAGCCATTGACTGCAGTATATTTACAACCTTAAGATCTGAAACAACTGGAAAAAAACAAACCCTCAACGCACTATAATGCAAATAATAGTCTTTCTATGCGAACTTTCTTAAAAAGGATGACTTCTTCATTGATAATTCGTCCGAGCTATAATATACAATTTTACGCTCTACTAAGAACAAAATACAGCAAAATACTGCCATCCGGCTACATAAGTCTAAAACTAGTCAAATATAATCTATTTCCAAAAAAATAGGTGATTATAACGTCTGTTGACGTGAGCGCGGTAACCGATGGCATTGCGCGATAACACCTGGTGTCGGCCTTTTATCCTCACTCCTACTAAGATTAAAACTTCAATTAAATAACACTGATGTGGAAGAAATTCCATTCTTCATTACTACACTTAATGAAAATGAACTTAATGAAAAGGAATGCACTAAGAACTCAGTGCAACTCGATACACAATAGTATATATACAAATAAACTGAAAAATAATGCCCTCCTTACCTTCTAAACAACTTGTCTTTATTCCAGGATTATAATTTTTCACCTATGAGCCTGAGTTTATGTTATGTCTACGCAATATTACATCAGTTAAATCTTCCCCGAAAACCAAGGCCACTTGAAACCAATAGCAACATAGCAACAAGCGTCATTGAGGGGATATGCAATAAAGTCGCTCTATGCACATAGCCTCGTAGTAGCCCTCTTTAGGGGGCATGAGCTTACAGCACTGTATAGCTCTTGAAGCATCTCCAGTGCAATACCTCAACAAATACATCAATTTGAATTCATCACTTAATAAAAAATTACTCAGCATGATCCCAAACTCCTTTACAAATTGTAAATAATCAGCTGGGTTTCCATCGAAACACCGTGGTTCAAATTTAGGGAGTTTGATGTTCCTATTATCCCTGAACGGCGAAACAGTAACATCAACCATGTCATGCTTAACATCGGACACATCGTTGCAATTAACAGACAAGTCACTATGACTTACCTTCCTGTTTGCATCCAAAACACTCTGTCCCTTCTTTGACCCAGGCATTGTTGAACATGACCCAATTCCAAAAACGTTCCAGATATTGCTTGTTCAAAGAGGACTTGACCGGCACCAGGAAAGGTGAACGGTGAATATCCAAACTTTCACCAACTGTCTGAATCCGCCAGAATCTGTTTTTACCGTCAGAAACTGTCAGTCAAGTCTCGTGAACCGTTAATGCCCAGCTCTTGCTACGCTCGGGCTCACGCTGTCGCTTGAAGTTTCTCAGAAACGCTTAGTAATAACGGACGAAAAAACCAAAACACCAATTGTTGACTCGAGGATTCTTTATTGTTACACCAACATATAATCACTTATGACTAAGGTCTGTGAACAAATATTACAATAATAAATCACAATATTACTTCTGACGGTGTTTTACTCTTCTTCCTGAACAGTGACCGATGAGACGATGACAGTCGTATTGATGCCTCCGCGAAAATTGGGGAAGTTGGTTTTGAGCAAACAACCATGAATTGATCGTTCAATCTTCAACTACATTGACAACGTCCTTACTTGATCCTCATTATATTCCATTAAACCTAACATTTTATAGCTCTTTATGAATTTGATTCGACTGATTCTATTCCTATTCTCTTGAGGGTGCCTTTGTGCCCCAAATAGACAAAAAGGCATGAAATAAAAACAACTGGCTTGAAATAATTGTACTAAAGCCAAAAGTGGACATCATGATAGTACA